TTGTTTAATGCAACCAACCCCAAGTGGGCAAGTTGCCGGTTTCCCCCCCCCCCACCACCACCCCCACCCCCCCCCCCCCCCCCCCCCCCCCCCCCCACTAGAGTACGGCCTGCATCCAGAGCAATGGTGTGCTCAAACATCATAATGCACCCATGTGTCTGTCTTTTGTGGTTGGGTCGGCCTGGAAGCAGGCCACGCGCGACCGCGTGCGGGTTGCCACGCCCTAATTGACGGCTACGGGGGGTGCTGATGTGGCGCACAACAAATGCACATGCAGCCAATCGTCCACGGCACAATCGTGTCCTCTGGTCATCGGCGACATTGAACTGTGAGACTTTTGCAGACAATCTCGACGCAACCAAAATGCTCGCCAATTCTGAGCAGAAGCGTGCCACCAGCTTAAAGACGGCCATGAACAAGATCTGGGGTACGGCTCGGACTACTTTCAACATCAGTCCCGGCTTTCAAGCCGTTGGCAATATCTGCCACGGCGGCTCCCAGGTCAACGGCAACACGATTCACAACGAGACTCACCAGTATTCCCGAAACACCATCAACATCAATATCTGTTTTTGTTCTGGTGCACAAAGCCACCGGTAAACCTTCTTCTTTGAACGTCTTGCCCTGCTGTAGGCGGATGCTTTGTTAGATCGAGCTGCGGGAGCAGCCGCAGTACGGCCCGAGCCTGATCCAATCGTCCGTACGTCGCTTGGTCTGCTGTCTTGGGCGCACGCACGCACGCAATGTCTGACACTTGTGAAGCCAGTTTGCCCTTGTCTAGCAAATGATAGCGCAATGCAACGTTGGTCACGCCTCCACTAGACCGACCCCGACCCTGAAAATGCCTCAGTCGAAGCGACAAGCGCGCGTGTGCTTCGAAGAATAACCGGGCTAAACATGGCGTGCGCTGGGAATGGAGGGCCGCGGGGTTATCACAGGAAAACCGCAGCGAATCGAAAAGGGGGATGGGCGGGTAGTGCGCGGGGTGCTGCAGGAATATCGTGAGACATGATTTATGTACGTGGCAGCTCAAGACACGGCTTGATATATACACGACTGGCAGCAGAAGATGGGGTGTTCTCCTGGGGCTGAGTGCCTTGGCCTCCCTCAAAAGTTCTTTTTTCTTTCCTCTCTCGATGACCCCGTTCTCGGGACGGGATTTATCGTCATTCGGGCATCTTTCTTTTACCAGGTACTCTTCGGATAGAACATAAATGATATTGGCTTCCCTGCGAGGGATTGGACACATGCTGTGGGCTCGATGTAGTGCTCTGTATGCACGTCTCCATCTGTTCCATCTGCTGGCTTGGCGTTCCAGTCAGATGATTGGTTCAAGTTGGCATAGCGGTGGAAGCCTGGGCCCTGGGAACAAGAAAGTCTCGGAGCCCAGCTCAGCGTCCGTGACCGAATGCCCTTGCTTGTGTACACATACTTTGAATGGCCTCATGCTCTTCAGGTCCCGTACTCTGGGAGATCCGATGACTTAGTCAATCCGATATCCCAGAAGCGCAAGGGTTGCCTTCTGCAGATGTTTCAAGGATACTTCACTCTGCTGAGACTTGTTGATGATAGATGATACAGGGACACAATTATTCCATGCTGCTATGCTTTCATATACACGTTCATCGCTAGTGCTATCTCTGAACGGGGTTGTTTGAGGATTATTCAGTAGGCTTCCCCGGCTCGATCCCTCACGGCCAAGGCATACTTCTCGCCCCACTTGGGTATACAGCACCCGACAAGGTCAGCAAAAAAATCGTGATCTGAATGACTTATTTGATTTTTTTCAGTTGATTACGTCAATGTGCATCCCAAGACCTCGATCCGATGAACCCACCGGCTACGCCAAGATTCCAGGCTCAGCTATCCCTCCATCAATCACATGGACGAGTATGTATAGCACAGAGGGCCAGCCCGGATATCCATGTAGTCCTTGACGATGGGATTGGTGTCGGCGAGCTCCATGACTGGCATCGTGTTGTTGAGCGAGGCTGGAATCGTGCCGCTGCGATCTTGGAAGCCGGTGTAGTCGGCCAGGCGGGTCGCGTTGCGGCCCTGCCACTGCAGCAGAGGTCAGAATCTGTATCACATGCTTGGAAAAGATAATTGGAAAAAAAAATTGAAAAAAAAGAAAGGGACGTACCTTGGCCCATGCACGGTCGACGTTGGCGTGGTGCAGGAAGAAGAGAGGCTCATTGGGCGAGGTGGAGGGGCCCATGTCACCAAAGATGACGCTGTGGACTAGAGACGTGTCAGGGTCAGGAGAGGACGACACAGTCTAAGGGAGACAAACTCTGCGCGTGCGGCAGGCCCTCGAGCATATCCGCCATATCGGCAAACGTGTCGAATGCATAGATAGTGTTCATAACTTGCGAGTTATACGCCGATGCCTGCATGTCACCGATGATCATATTACCATTCTCGTCCCTTCCCGAGGCGTTATTCAGCTCACGCGTGAAGCAGTGGAGGCGATCGCCGTCCTCGTTCACGTCCGGCCACCCCATGCCCAGCGTCAGATTGGTATTGGCAAAGGGACCGTCGACGACGCAGCGCTGGAAGCCTGGCTCGTCGCTGTCGGTCCGCTTGCCATCGCCGCCAAAGCCGGTGACGGGGTCAAAGACAGGCGCGTTGGGCACGTCCTCGGCGTCGGCGTCAATGGACCAGTCCCAGTACGGCTGGGTGCCCGTGAAGCCGCACTCGGTGCGCAGGAGGTCCTCGTGGAGCTGCACGAACCAGCGGTGCCACGGGAGGAAGTTGGCGACAAAGTGTATATCCAGGTTAAGGGAGAAGTGGGTGTAGACCAGGTCGTCCATACGCGTCGTCACTGCGTCGATAGCGGCGTACTTGGCCTTAGGCAGTTCGCGCACGCACGTAGCCGCGCGGAGGTACTCGGCCTTCTCCGCGTCGGTGAGCTCGCGCCACTCCTTGCGGACTGGTGGGCTGGTGCAGGTGTTGCTGACGCCGGAGAGTACGGGTGGCATGGCGCTCGCGGCGACGACTGCGGTGAGCGACAAGACCCTGAGGAGCGAGGTTGAAAGCATGTTGGGCAGACGTGGTGCAGAACAGGCCTCAATTGAACCTCTTCGTGGTCTTCAGTAGGAGAAAGTGTGAAAATGGCTGGATGCTGGCCCTCTCCTAGTGCATGGAGCCGCCATTGTACTTATACACAAGAAGTCCTGCGCGAGGTCCAGGGCCGGGCGTGCATACGAGATTGAAATGCCTCGAGGGCCAGGCTTCGTGTTTGAAAACAGCAATGAGAAATCACGACATCAGTGTCGCCCAGGACCCTGGCGAAGAGGGTCCATGTGGCGCCGACGCTCGGCAGACAACTACCGCGGTCGTCGTCGAACACGACGGCAGCGGGGGTCGCGCTTCATCCGGGTAAGCTTGAGGCTCGAGCGCCTCGTGTTCCTCGAGCCATCTGGGGCTGCAGATTCGATCGTTATGCGGGTGCAGAAGAGACCCGCTCTTGGGGGGTTCGCATCGACCATGCGAGCGTTGGCAATCACTCAATCTGCCGCCTAATTTCAGGGGATTGACAAGTTGGCGCCATGGGTTGTGCTAATATTAGACCAGATTGCATTAGAGTGACTAGATTAATTAGATTGAGTTATTGTCTGACTCAGTAGAGGCTTCTTACTGGATCATAGTCGTCAGGCTCTGACATAGGCACTCGACTTGTTTACAAATCTCATTTTTGACGAGGCCTTGGCCCTCGAGAGCAAACCAGGCACGGCCACAGGGGGCAGCCTCGCATACGTGGGCCGGGTTAGGGCAGTAACGTCATGTAGGGACCCACCTACCGATCTATCACCGGCTACCCTACACTGACAACAAAACACAAGGAATAGGACGAATTAGTAATACAAAGACGGTATATAAGGTATTATAAATAAATAAATAACACTTGGTTACTTAGATTAACTTTAATCCCAATCTACCTCCCCGTCGATTGAGTGGATTGAGTCAGGCGAAGATTCCAACACGCGGGTTGAATCAGCCGAAGATTGATGGAGTAAGTCTAAACGGGGGAACTGCCAAGGCTGCGGGACACGACTTATTACGTAGTTTGAGCTGCAAGGCTATTTCCTGGAAGGCTGAAGACATGGATCCGACAACCAGAACGTCTCTCCGCAAATGGCTCGAGCTACTCCGTACTTACTCTGCAATCTGCATCAGCCCGCGGGACGCATGTGAGCATGCGGAACCGTACTCTTACATGCCACGTGCGTACCGCCAGGCTGGGAATTCAGATCCATCTAAGCTAGTGGGCATCTCTGCTTGCCAAGGCTCCCCCTGTCGGAGGCCTGGCTTGTCAGTACCGCCGCTATTGCTCAGGCTTTGGTCACCTTTGATACACTGATGCCCACCTTGAATCACCTTAATCCCCCTCCCTTAGGCGGGATGCCTTTCATCCTATCAGCCACAGTCAACACTATCATTGGTCTGCACTATATTGCATCGACTTCATGCGACTATCACTACGCCTCCTACCCCTTACCCCGGTGATGATAGCGTAAGGCCAGATCTTCGTGGTTCGAATGAATTGTTTTTAATCTTTGTTATTCCAATGTCACTTATCAACAGTTTTAGAAGACAAGAATAATATTGATTTCTGGCGAATCCTATTGTGGTGGGACACCAGGCGACAAGTCGTGAATCTCGGTCGACTCTAGTCCATGGTCAATACTATAGCATGGTCATGAAAACAGTTTTGGTGGACGCTACCATGTGCATTATGGGTTCTTCGGGTTCTTTTCTGCCAGGCGTGCCACAGTACAAGCGCTGCCGGGGGAGTCAACCCTACCATAGCGATTACGCTCTCCGAGGACAGTGGCATTTCCCGGTGTCAGGCTGTTCTCGGGTTGTCGGTTGTGATCAGAAAATGGTCCAATGATGAAAGAAAATCGAGTCAATTTAGAATGACTGGATAGATCCAGGTTCACTCATTCAATGTAGTAGCAATACCACGCGGTTTTTTATAGGGCCTAGCATAACGAATTTGGGATACAGCACGGCTCTTCACCGATGAGCCCAATTAAGACATACAGTATGTGTACCTTAGATTCTGCCGAATTGAATCGCAAATTGTGGCCAGGGCTAATCATCATCGTTGTCCAAAATTTGCATTGGGGGCTGGTTAGTGCTTACAACAGTTGCAGCCAGGAACAAGGACGAATTTTGGCAAAAGTGCAAATCCTGCCAACAGCGCCACAGTCTTCTTGAACCAATTAGATACCGACAATGGAATGCAGCTGCACCGGTGTGGTTTGGGCTTGTTCGAATGGTATCTTCACCGTCTCCCCCTGCTTTGTTTACAAAGCTTTACGCTGCTGCTTATTCTTCTCGTCTTGACCCTTCAGCCCATGTCACCTGGTCTTCGTCGAAACATCATACGGACAAGCACGCGATGGCACCTATGTCCAAGATTCCTCCCAAAGAGTGCGAAAGTCATAAGGAGTTAATCATTGATTTGTATCTCGAATAGGGGAAGAAACCGGTAGATGTTATTCAGATTCTGGCAAGGGATCACAGCTTTCACGCGAGGTAAGATACCGGGGTTTTACTAATGCGGGAGAAGGTGCTAAACAGATCACGACAGTAAATCTCAATACTTCTTGCAACTCGGCAAATGGAATGTAGGAAAGTACTCCTCACGGGATGTATGGACATCAGCCGCAGCCCTGATCCGCAAGCGCAAGCTTGTGGGTAAGGAGACTGAAATTCACGTAGAGTTTGAAAAAAGGCACTCTGAACGCCTTCGAACTCTCAGGTTGAGCCGATGACGCATTTGTGTAGGTTCCCTGGTTCTTCATTCACCTCGCTATCGCTAATATACTAGACAGCCGATTCGACATTTGGGTCTAGCGGCGTCACTGCATATACCCCAAAGCCCCCTATTGATTTACCTGGCTTCAGTGGAGCAACACCCAACAGCACTGCGATCAAGCAAGTTAGCCGTGAAGCACGGCTAGTTCTTGGGAAGCGCCTATCTCAGAAAACTGATTCAGATCCCAGCTACGTGGCCAAGATTTCATCAATTCTGAAGGAAGCTGTCGAACAACAAGAAGGAAAGCTTTTGAAGCAGGTGGAACGCCTCCAGCAAATTATTTTGCAAAGCGGCTTATCAGCTGCTGCGTGACGCAGCTTATCTGTCTCCCAACAACCTCTTGCCTAGTATGCGAACAGCAATACTTGTACGCTGGGTTGCTCAGGACGAGAATATATGGGTAATCAAGCGTCTCCTTGACAACCAGACACCAACTATTGAGATCTTCTGCGGCAATTTGCTTGTTAATGCTGCTGAAATGGAGAAAACAAATTTTGTCAACGCATTGCTCTCGAAAGGTGTTGATCCAAATTTCCTCGGCGGCGGAAGCCATGTCAAAGAGACAGCTCATCATCAAGTTGCAACGAGGGGAAATGCCAAGCTTGTTGATTTGCTCCTGAAGGCCGGCGCCAGCCCCAACATCCACGCTATTGGCGACAGCGAGACGGCATTCGAGCTGGCCCTTTGCTACAACTTACCTGGGAGACCCGAGATCCCGCTTATGATGATAAGGGCAGGGGCCAGCGTTGTTCGATCCTCGTCAACTGAACCAGGAAATCCCTACTTGGCTATTACTGCTGGGATGGGTTCGCTTGAATTAGTTCAAGCTATGCTCTCAGCCGGTGCACGGGCAAATGATGATACTGGAAGAGCAGAATCTGCGCTGCAGATTGCAGTTCAAAAAGATGATGCCGAAATGGTCGAAGCATTGCTAGCCGCTGGAGCAGACGTCAACTATCCCTCAGGCAAAGCATATCAGAGGGTTCGCAACCAATTGGTAACGCATGTATCGACTGATCCATACCCTTCTTGTTCACATCTTCAAACGCCCCTTCAACTCGCGACAATTCAGAATAACATGGACATGATTCAAGTCCTGCTCGAGGCTGGAGCAGATGTCAATGGCTGCCCAGCTCTTAAGTATCTGCCATGGCTTTTGTCTGACAGCGACGACAAATAATTTGAAGACGACGACCAAGGAGAAGATGATATCTATAGCAATGTCATAGCCAGTGATGATTTCATTCTGTAGATCGAGGACTCATACACCTCTATGACGAGCACTCCACTACAAGAGTCTGTTCGTCAAAAAAACGCCGCAGCAGTTCGTCTCCTGCTTCGCTTAAGGGCAGATGTGAACGCCGTCGGTGGATTTGCTACTGCGTTGCAAGCTGCTGCTGCTGCCAAGGAAGGATGTCAAATGATCCGACTTCTGCTCAGCAAGGGTGCAAACGTGAACAGCCGTGCACAGCGGCGAGGAGCAATGTCAGCACTTCAAGCGGCCGTCCGCGCAGAAAATCAAGAAGTTGTGCAATTGTTGATAAAGGCGAAGGCTAATATCAACGCGCCTCCAAGTCCCACTGAGGGGCGGACAGCAATTCAGGCGGCGGTAGAAACTGAGAACATTAGTATGGTAAGGTTTCTGATCAGAGCTGGCGCCGACATAAATAAATGCCAATGCAGCGTCCGAGGACGGCAGGACTTGTCTTCAAGCCGCTGCTGAAGCCGGCAGTTTTGAGCTGGTTGATCTTCTTTTGCGATCAGGCGCCGATATAAACGCAGGTTTGTCTTGCTGTTGTGCTAAAGCTTCTGCACTTCAGGCTGCAATTGAAAACGGCAAGAAGATTGTAGTTGCGAGGCTTATCAGCACTGGTGCTCCTATTGAAGAGTCTCAGGCAGCTTTAGGCTCCCTGATCACCACGGCGATTCGTAACAGGGAATCTGAGCTGGCTGAGCAATTCTTCGCTAAAGCCAATCCAGCGCTTCGGTCACGCTACATGGGGGGATCCATGACTTGTGCTATTGAAACCGGCAATCTGAGGCTTATGCGTTTATTTATAGAGACTGGGGTGGACATCAAGAAGCCCGAGGGAGGCGACTTTCCCATCGAGACTGTACTCAAGGAATGGCAACCTATAGCTATGAAGGCCTTATTGGAAGCAGGTGCCAACGTCAAAGGCGTCATTGGCGCAAGAGCTGTCGCAGAGGCGTTGCGTTTCAACGATAGCGAGCTCATTAAGCTCCGCGCTCTACTCTCAGCAGGGGCAAGTCCGAAGAAGCTCCCTGGGAGCAAGTCTCCGCTACGACTTGAAACAGAGAGATGGAGGATCAGAGACGATGCTGTGAAACTTCTTCTTTTTCATGGCGCAGACGCAAACGAGGATTCAGGAATACCGCTGCAGATGGCCCCAGCCAATGGTTGCATTCCAGTCGTTGATCTCTTACTGCAAGCAGGGGCTGACGCGAACGCTCCCGCTATACACGCACGTCAGAACACAGCACTTCAAGGCGCCGCGAGAACGTTGAGAACAGATCTTGTCGAAAAGCTACTAGACGCCGGGCTGATATCAACGCCCTGACAGGTCCGGTATGGGGAATGACCGCGCTACAAGGTGCAGTAGATTCCGGTTCGTCGGCCATGGTTCGCCTTCTTCTCTCCAAAGGTGCCAATGTCAACGGACCGCCCAGTGCTGCTTATGGAGCCACGGCATTGCAAAAAGCCGTGATCAAGGGAAATCTTGTGATTACATCGTTGCTCCTGAAGCACGGCACAGATGTAAATGCTCCTGCATCGAAATTGCACGGAAGAACAGCACTCGAAGCGGCTGCTGAGCATGGACGTCTTGATATCATGAATTTGCTACTGCGCAACGACGAAGATTCCGAAACGTTCGACCTCCGATGCAGACGTGCAGTCAAATTGGCGGAGGCGTCGGGACATCTCGTTTTGGCTCGGGTTCTGGGAGAATGGAGGATCTCCCACAGAAGGCACCGAGACTAAGTGATTGAACCAGGTCCTTGCCAAGAAGAATCAAGCGCCTCCCCCCCTCTCCCTCCCCTTCCCCCTCCATATTCTACTTGGTGAAGAGTGCCCGCTCCAGACCGAGGACCTCAGCCTATACCTTGACGGACTGATTGCCTTCACGGACTGACGGCCCTTCACAGTCTAGGCACTACCTGGAGTTGCTGTCGGATCCGTGGACTCTCACGAACTCCCAAAGGGTCCCTCCGTGTATTTCCCCGTAAATCGTGTTGCCGTCAGGACGAACCGAAACTTGCCGTTGCGTCCACCAGTGCAAGGCCTGAATCCAGTAGTAGCCGCTCCTTTGCTTATAGGCTGTAAAGTTCTCCCATCCCGACTGGTGGCGAGCTCTGGCATGAAAGTTCCATCCCCCGTCGTGGCTAAGCCAAGACTCCTCAGTGACGCTCTTAAAACCTTTGAAGCGGGAATCGCTCTCGGTGCATTCCCACTGCCAGCATAGAGGTACGGCGTCTCCCGGCTTGAGGGACTGTACGTCTTCGAGGGCCAGAGAACCGTTGCGACATGCCAACGCGCGATTTTGGGATTTATCGATAATAAGGAGAAAATCATCGGGGTAAGGATCGGCCATGCGAGTTACCACTAGTGATCCAATGGATTGCACCGCGTCATCCCCGAGAGCAGACATACTTTCCTGTGATGATTCCAGCCATTCTTGTATCTCCGAACCGTCCCCCAGATATTCCGTTTTGGTAGGCGTTCTCGAGCCGTGACAATGATCAAAGTCGCGTGTGTTTGCAATGGACATGTTGACAGGTTTTGGGTGGCGAGATGTAACCTTGCAGATTGCACATTCGCGCCCCCTCTCTGGAACGTTAGCGAAGTCGTTATAACGAAGGCTGAGTAAGCAGTTTCGATTTTTCTCATGTTCGAATCGCTTCTGGGAGTGGCCTGCAATCATGCTGCATGGCGATGGGCGCTTATGTACTTTAGCCCGCCGAGGTAGGAGGCGTGTGTGGCAATCCCCTTGGGGAAGATCCTCATCCATACCTCTGCTTGAGCCGTTTCCATATCGGCGATGATTGATGTCTGGCCAATTACGATGCCTTGTCCATTCCACCGATAGATAAAAGAGCTCGGATCCCTCAAGCTACGCGCCCTTATAATTAGCGCTGTGAACGAGCGCTTCAGTTGCTGGCTGGTGCACGACAGGCTTGGCGAGAACAGCACCCAGTCGGCTGCGATCCTTATTTCGAACCATGCGATGTGGTTTCAAATACCCGACAACCCGAACGTCTCTCCGCAAATGGCTCGACCTACTCCGTACGTACTCTGCAATCTGCATCAACCCGGGGGACGCACATGTCACGTGCGTATCGCCAGGCCAAGAATCCGGATCCTTCAATAAGGCTGTCAAAGAGATATCCATTGAGTATCTCTCCTTGCCAAGGCTCGTCTTGTCAAGACTCAAGGCTGACTGAGCTCACTAACCCTCGTTGGAGCACGGACAACCCTTTCAGCCGTACCCAATCTTGCCGCCCTGACATGCCGGCCGCTTCACACCTGGGCTTGCAAAGGCGACTAGCCTCCTTTTCGCGCCTCTTGTCGCTTTTGCCCGTGGCCGTTCATATCTGTCCAATGTTGATGCAGCCACACTGGTCTGGGGCCTTTGCGCTCCCTACCACGGGTTGACCACATGCCACATGCCGCCTATTTCATTGGTGAATCTCAGAGCTGAGCATCGCGCAACCATGGGCGAGGCGGCACAAGAAGGCAACTCCGTGCAAATCAAGGCGAAAGTGCGAGACGGCTAGCTTATAAGCTCGTCGAAAACATCCCCATACCCCACGATGCTGCCTCTGCTCGAAAATGGGGTTCATCTCATACTAGTTCGTTTGGAGACGGCAAAATACTCGCAGCAAAAGGCTCGAGCCAACACGGAACCATCAAATGGCATCGGACAATACGCCCAAGGCGGACGAGAGCTTGCAATCGAGCCTCGGCCTGTCCAACATTGACCTACTGGCCATGGTGCTCAGCGACTCGGGCCTCGCCAACGCCGAGCCGCAGTGGTGGAACGCGTCGCCCTTGGGATGCTTCCTTATCGGGCTTCAACCACGAGGTGGTTGGCAGGTGTGAATATGTTTCCTTCCCCATACGTGGTCATTCAAGACCGGCCGATGCACTGGCAGATAGATGGTGGGATTCTTCCAACAAGTCGCGAGCACACCCGCTGATTCCCCGTCGCACTATAGATTATGCAGCGATCGATGCAATGGGGCGACGACGCCTGGGCGCGCTGCTTTGGCGTCGACTGCCAGGCTCCCACCCTCTACGCCTACTTTGCCTGCAGCATCCGCAACCGCCTCGAGGTCCTTGCCTCAGAAAACTTTCGCTCGCCGACCGAGGGCGTCGCCCCGGGCGCGCCGTGGAGCGTGGCGCCCAGCTTCTCCGTCAAGCGCCCCACGAAGCTCATTGACGGCAGTCGTGGTGGGCAGGCTTTTGTGGCGGCCATCCTCGCGCCCGAGAAGGGCAAGCACTACAGCATTGTGGACCAGGCGCGCATGCAGCTCCTCAGCGTGCTGCTCGTGGGCGCGAGCCTGACGCGCGAGGACAGGCGGGGCGAGTATGTAGACACGGTACTGCCGCAGGACTTTGACCTGTCGCCCGCCTTGGGCATCGTGTTCACGCGTTTGCTGGCGGCTTTGGTGTTCTTTAGCGTCGTTTGTGTCGCATTGTTGGTGAGCACGTGGTGGTCGCTGCTGCGGAGCAACTTGTACGGCGATAGGGCGTCGCTCGCCTGGATCACAAAGGTCCTCTCGTTGGGATGCTGGGCGGTGGGGGCCATGGGCTTGCTCATGCTTGGAGGGAACCCGCGGGTGATGCTGGTCGGCAAGCAGATAGATGGGTTCGTGTCGGACCGCATCGAGGATCTGGTAAAGACCACGAAAGAAACACGGACAATGGAGCCATGTTCGACTCCGATCAAGGAGAGAGACGCGGCAGAGCCAGAGAGCGAGGTCAAGCTTCTCACCCCGACGAGTCGAGTCGGCCAAGCCACAGTCGACGCCGCCCAGCAGAAGCCGTCGCCGGCGAAAAGGTCCACCGTCGTCATAGAAATCGAGGCACAAGCCCACACGGCACCGACGGAGCGGCAACAGCAATCCAAGATGCCCATTGTCGTCCAGTTCGGCTCCCTCCACGGCTCCATCTTCACGCCAGATAGGGGCACCTGCGAGCTCCCGCGCGACCTGGTCGAGCGCATCTGCGCCCTCGACATCAAGACGGTGCGCTCGGGGGGCTGGGTCGCAGGCGTCGCGTGGTTCGGTGTAATGCTCCTCGCCGGCGTCACTTTGCAGATTGGGAGCATCCTTGCGCCGCTGTTTGCCGCCGACCTCGCGAGCCTGACCTTCCTGCTGCTGACGTCCCTAGCTAGGGGGGCCGGGGTCTCGGGACCAGAGAGCTGGATGATTCCCAGGTGGAAGCGGAGACCGAACGCGGTCCATGGTGCGGTGCTTGTCGGGCAGTGTAACTCGAGGGAGCGAGCCGACGTGTGATATGTGTTGGTTGTTTGGAGGACTTTGCTACGGCGCAATGTTATAATACGTGAACGGAATACCACAGCGATTTATTGTATTTGTGTTTTCGAATCCCCGTTTGCTATACAGTCCACCCTGTCATCTCCTCTTCGATCCCTTTGTGCTCAAATGAGGTCTACTCCCCACGACAAGACCTAGCAACCTGACATCAAGAGACGTAATGGCAGGTCCAGCACCACGGGCTGATACCTCTCCTCCGTCTGTCTCTTCTCCAGCGTCATCCACGCCGCATTCACAAAGATGGTCTTCTCCCCTCTTTCAAACCTTCCGAGTCCCGTTGTAAAATCCAGCAGGCACGGCGCACCGTCCTTGACCAGCGAGTCCGTCTTCTCTACCTCGTCGACGTCGGACTTCCAGGTCACAACCTCGACGCCGTGGCTGCTATGGAAATGGCCAAATACGGCCAGCACGGGGCGAGCCCTCGCCACGGCGCGCGCCTGCGCCTCGCAGCCCCTCAAGGGCGGGATGGGGATCCAGTCGAGGTGGCCCAGGGGACCCCCATGCGTGACCCAGAGGGCGCTGGAAGAAGAAGGATCTGTGGGCGCCGACGTCCATGCCGCTGTAGCCTGTTGTGAAGGATGCGGTGGGTAGGTGAAGGCGTAGGATGAGGCGAGGAAGTCTGGTTGCGTGGGGTTGCCGTAGGCACTGATCGTGTCGCTGAGGCGGACGGATACCCTGTCGACGTAGTGAACGCCCGATGCTGCGGCTGCTTCGGACGTGAATAAAGCAAGGGCCTCGGGCAAGAACTTGCTGTGATCCGGATCCAGGCCAACGTCGTGGTTCCCTGCCAGAACGACACCCGTGTCAGAGGAATCAAATAAGAGTCAAATACGCGTAGGCTTAACTCGGCCCAAGCTCGCGACGCGCACCTGCTATAACAAGCTTGATCTTATGCGGCAGTGCAGCGATCCACTCGTACGCAACACGCAGCTCTTCCATTGTGCCGTCGTCCGTCATGTCACCCGCGTGGATAAGGATGTCGCCGTCGGGCAGACTCTGGGTGCAGTCGTCATTATGCGTGTCGGAAATGCAGACGATACGAATCTTGTCATTGAGAGAAGCTGCATGGACAGACATGTTGACGAGATCGGGGAACGAGGCATTGTGGAATCATGGGAGTACGTGTACGAAAGAGTGTTGAGTCCATACTGAGGCGCGGAGGAGAATGGGGCCACGTGATGCGGCGCGGAAAACCCTCGAAAAAACGTCTTGGTTGAGCCCAATCAGTGTTGGAGCGTTACACTTGACCTTTGTTCACATCGCCTCATAATGCGACCTTCGAATTTAAAGTAGTAAGCGACCAACAGCATGACTGTCGGTGTTCAGGCGTTCGATTCAGAGTTCGCAATCAATCAGATATAGTCAAATCAGGTTAAACCAAATTGAATTAAACGGTGATTTTTATCCGCCCCGCTACGTCAAATACAAAATATGAATATCGAATTGAATCTAATTGATACTAATAATAATCATACCTCTATTGTTTGTTCGGCTTGTTTTAGCCTCTGTCCGCATTGCGAGACGCGTAGGGTAGCCACACGGATGCCCCATTTTTTGATTGGCTAAGATGCCGGTAGTGGGACATTGTTGGGCCCGCCGCTAGTGTTCCAGTGTGGCACGGGCCGGGGCTGGCTGTGTGGGGCTGCAGTTGATGAGGGGCCAGGCGCTGTTGATAAGGGCGTCGTTGATGAGGCGTTCACTAATTGTTGGTATTAGCAATATTGATCAGATTTAGTTGGATCAAATTAGATCAGACATTCTCATGAGTGAAATTACCTGGCATCGCATCGTTCAGGCTTTTTCTCAAGAATATCTATCTCATTGCGAACGCTGTTCACACTTGACCCCCTGCTCACGTCGCCCCATCATGCGACCTGCGAAACTGCAACAAGCGACCAACAGCATGACTGTCGGCGCTTATACAGGATCTCCTCTCTATTCCAAATCGATCATGTTACTCTCTTATTTTTAATTAATGGAAAAGTTTGCGCCGCAGAATCTACACAGTCACATTCTACAACATCATCACCAAGGCGTGAAACAAAACTTACTCATTCTCAACCCGCGCCACTCCTGCTCTCACCAAGGCCCCGGGTTGATCAGCTGCCACGATGGCTACAAATATCTCCGACGTGCCAATCCCTTCCATTGAGACGCATTTTGAGCCGGGAATAGTTCCCAATGCCGGCCACACACCGGCATTGTCAACAGACGGACCTCCAACCCCACCGACACCTTCAACGTCTTCCACCATAGGGTCGGAGGACCAGAAACCCCCAAGTGGAAGTCGTGAGAGGCCGGACTCCATACCTCGACGGTCTGTGGACGGAGAAGACACTGTTATTGAGGCAATTTCCAACATGCGCCTCTCCCCAGCGGGTGGTGTCTCAGACATGACTGGCCTTGCTGAAGCCCTTGACACGGCTGGGCCGCGATCCCAACGAGCCAACTCATTGACACCTTCCATTGCAGGCGAAGCTCCGGACCCGGAGTCGGCGCGGAATCGGCGGCGTTCGCGTCGCGCCAGCTCGCAACCTGTTCGAGTGCGCCATGAAGTCAGCGATGAGGAGCTTCCAGGTGCAGCACATTCAGCCGAATTTCGACATGCGTTTCAGATCTCGAAGCGCCTCATGGCTGATATGGAAAATATTCTGAGAGGCTCAGCTCTGCACGCCGAAGAAGAATCTACCATACATGGGTTGCATGCGGAGGCTGTCAAACTGGCTGAATTCCAATACCCATCGACCCGGATCGTGGGGTTCGTTGGCGATTCTGGCGTGGGTGAGTTCAGTCATGTCCTGTACCACAGCGTCATCTCATTCGGAAAAAATAGGGAAAAGCAGCCTCCTCAACTCGCTTCTAGACACTCGGGCACTTGCAAGGACTGTATGACATGAATTCGATTGGATGTTAGTACAAAGCTGACCACTCGACCAAATTAGAGCAACAGCGGTGAAGCATGCACCTGCGTTGCCACTGAGTATCATTATCACCCCGAGGAGACCTTCAATATTAAGACGAATCTTTTCACGGTCGAGGAGCTCAGAGACCAGCTGAGATCCATGCTGCGGTGCTATCGCCACTTTCACCTCCATGGCCATGCTATGGAAGCGGACGAAAAGCGCGATCTCGAATTGGGTGCTAAACTCGCCATCGATACGTTTAGGGCCATGTTTCATGGCCGACTACGCAATGAAGACTTTCTCGTCACGGATATGGAAGACACTGTCCTTGAAGTCTTGTCAAGGTGGGCGGAAGAATATAGACCTTCCGAGAGGCTCATGCAGCACTCTGAGCTTTCCCTTCAGGACTGCTCAAAGATGCTAGTGCAGTTGTCTTCGCAGGTTGGGGTCACTTCCCAGCCGGCGGCCTGGCCGTACATCAAAAACATCAAGTAATGCTGTTTCTGCGCCGTTGGCTCTAGCTCGTTTACACTGACGAACAATGCTAGGGTCTACTCCAACGCAACTATCCTGAGCACAGGGCTCATTCTAGTCGACCTACCAGGTAAGCTCCCTGGGAATCCTTGTTGACCAGCGACATGGCGTAGCAAGAGACTCACGCTTGGTGCAACAGGGCTCCGGGACTTGAATGCCGCTCGTCGGATCATCACCGAACGCTATCTAATCCAATGCGACGAGATATTTGCTGTTTGCAACATTGGTCGGGCAGCCACCGACGAGGGAGTCAGCAATGTGTTTGAGCTAGCTCGGCAAGCGCGACTTTCTAATGTCGGCATTGTATGCACACGCTCCGAGGTATGGTGCTGCGGAAGTTTCGTGACAAAACAATCAAAACGCTGATAATCTACAGGATGTTCAAGCCGAAGAGGCCCTCATAGGCTCGACAGGCGATAGGGCGGACAAAATTCGAGAAATGATGGCCGCCATTGCCACCGATGAGAGGGACGCACGCCGTGTGCAGGACGAGTTGGATGTCTTTGGGAATGAGGATCTCTCAGAAGACGAACGGGAGGATTGGATCGAGCTTACGATGAGACAGAACCGCATCAGGTCAGTGGCATACCAGCGCGACATAACATGGCACTTCATGGGTAATTAACCTCGGGACGGCTCCTCGCGTAGACGACGAATGCGAACCCATGAATGGGAGTGAGTATTCCCACCCTCCCCCCTCCACACTAGACTCGACGGGTCCAAAAGATGTTAAGCATCCTACTAACTTGCATCGTCCATTAGTCTGCAAGCTTACCTCATTTCAACCCGCAACGAGTTTGTCTCGCGACAACTGCGAGGCATGTACGGCGGAAACATATCTGACCAGCAGATCAGTGTCTTCTGTGTCAGTAACAACGTATATTGGGATAACAGAGACAGGGAACGGAACACCTTCCTACCACATCTCCAACTCAGTGGGATTCTTGACGCGCGCAGACACTGCATGTCGGTAGTTGCGAGTAGCCAGCGCCGTGCGACTATGCACTACATAAACGACCAGATCCCAGCATTCCTAGCCCAGATCAACCATTGGATTCAGTCGGGTGCGCGATCTGCCAGCCAAGAACGTCGAGAGATGGTTCTCCGTACGCTTGACGAAGTTGAAACACGGATGAGTAACGTAAGACGTTCCAGTTAGGGCAACGATGGACAGATGGGAAACACCCATTAACACAGTATTAAGGCCCTGAATTCGAGGACTAGCTCCATCAATCGTTTCTCGACTGATTCAATGCGACTATTCACCAGTCATGTCTATCAAGGTCAGTGCTCATTGATGTCAACCGACCATCCTTAAGTAGATTGGCTGGTGGCTAACGGTTGGGATTAGCGAGAGACATAACATCTTGGACCCGCTGTGCTACTCGTGCTAGTCTGGTGTGGGAAGGGGTGAGTAATCCACGGCCAGTTCAGGCAACCGCTGCCATACAAGATTGCATTACTAATGTACACGTCAGTGGAGTCCCTGTAAGTCGACATCTGGGCCCTCAAGGGCTACTCTATTCGGGATCAAGGAACACGGCTGAACATCACGAGCAACATACTCGGCATTTTGCCGCAAACACGGAAACTATGTCACGCCTACCGTTGGTCCACATAATTGGAACGAAGAAGCCATCAGTGCCATGGTTTTTGATCTCGAAAATCCATGGCGAGATTTTCGCTCCGCACTCAGCCATATGGATAGGGATGTTCTTGACGCTGTAGATGCACTGATAAACGATCTCATTGAGCGTTTCGGTATGGACCAGCCTGATTAGTGAAATCCGACCATACGCGGGATCTTCACCGTCAAGATCCGATCGCTGAGTAAAACACAGAGACTGATTTTTCGAACAACTTTGACACCCCGACGACTCTGATACAGACTCTATCGACGCAACAGCGGCTACTCACAGATGCCATCGACCACGCTCACGAGAAACTCGAAGAGGACCTGACGTGAGTGCTCCTGAAGCAATAATGTTGACTCTTCCAGTGGGAAAAATACTAAACAGTAAACTCTTTAGTCGTCTTCACGTCGTGGCTCTTTCAGGAATGAGAAGCTCTCTAATCGGGCATTTGATGGAACAACCGTACCAAAGATGCAATCTCGACCGTGGTGAGTCTCTCGACCTGTCAACCGCAGTCTTCATTCGTCAAAAGCACAACGATCCGTACCGCGTATTAACATCTGTGCCCGGTAGGCGGAGGTAGCGATGGCCGGCGGAAAGGTATCATACGGGACGCCCTGGGCGACCAACTTCTGTTCGAGAAATTGATGCGCGAATTCAAAGCTGCATGCAAAGCTCTCTTGGAAGCGGCCCAAGAGAAAATGACCAACGCGAAGGCTGCCTATCTTGCTATTGCACGGTGGAATTTTGATCTTGTGCGCGACGGGAATGCGATTCGAGAGAGTGAGCTGGATCCGCTGCTTCGGAACCGTCTGCAAGAGGCAGTGCGACAAGGTCAGGACACACTTGCCCGAGCTCAAGCTGTGTTCTCCTCTACGTAACCCTAATAGCTGCCCTAGACTGGGTGCCACGTTCGAGCTAAACGGGGCCAGACGAAACGTGAGACTACATTGTCATTCTTATCGAGGCAAAAGGCATTCATCAAGACTATTAGTGTGCTTTAAGTATAGCTATCCGTCAAAATTCAGTGTTTCAATCGATTCAATGCATTGAGCAAGGACGATACATGCTCTTACATATGAGTGCCACGGAGCAGCTCGTGGAGCTACATGTCGCAGTCTTCACCGAGCCATAGCTGGCCCCCCTGGACCTGACAGGCAAACACAGATGTCAACAGGTAGCCGCTCGTGAGTCAGAGCAGAAATTGATGGTGCAAGGCTTAGTTCCTCTGCGCATCAACGATCCTCAGCAAGATTAGCTGGCAATGAGGAGCGGCTCGATAGTCAAGCCCCTTCGGCCGCAGGCACATGGTACAGGTCTGTGAGACGTGGTCAGATTACAGTTCACATAACCATGTAGATTTGAGGACCCCCAAGAGCATCGAGGAACTAAATGTTTCTTAAAAAGGGAAATCCTCTAAAAGCACTGTTCTGAGCGATGATACTTCGCTGCTCGAGAGGCTTTCTAACCACTCGTTCTCCCAAACTTTCCCCTTCTCTGGTGACGGCTCCAGCTTGTCTTGCTCAATCTCACCAGCTGGCACATGTAAGCCCTTCTTTTGCTGTGCCGCAAGTTGCTCAATATAGATTTCCATGTGCTCTTCAAACCAATCGCGGGATTCCTTTTTTCTATTCCTCCGTCGTTCTTCATTTCCCACACGGTTCTCCCAGGCATTTTTAACATAGCCTTGTCTGCGATATGGGAACAAACAGCTGAATCGCTGCCAAGTCCTCACGACTAAGAGAGCTTGTTCAGGCGTCGTGTTGAACCATTCTATATGCCCCTTCTGACATTCCCCACTTATACATTGGGTGGCTCGTCGTTTGTCGCTCCGGAGGGTTAAGTGTACCAGAGTTTCTATCTTGCGTACTGCGCATGGCACGTAGGCCGCGAAATGGACAACCATCTGGAGCGAGCAATCCTTCCTCTGCTTCTTTAGGCGATTTCGGAGGTGTGGATCGTCTTTCGGCGGACCGACACAAGCTGGCTCCAAGTACTTGTTTTCGCAGCGAGCGGGAATCATGGCCGACCCTATGTTGACATGACCAGGCGTGAATTCGTCACTGAAACAGTAAATATAGCCTGCTCGTCGACACTTGGCTGGCTTTGCCAATTGGTAGATAAGATCGGAAGCGTACTTTTTGGTCTTTAATGGCGTGAAACGAAAACCGCCACGTCGAGTGGAAGTCGTTGAAATGCTTGGCTCTGGATACTTGATATCCTCAAGGCTTTGCACGAAATATTCGCCAAGCTTCAGATCCAAGTTTGTTGGTCTGTCAATCCCGATTTCACACTCGGTCTTGACTGGTTTCTGCCCCGGGGCCAGTGGTTGGTCACCTAGAGGCAAATCCTTCTGTGCAGACAACAGCCGGGCTCCGCATGCTCTCTCGAACCTCGAGAGCCGAATTTCCCCATTCAACCCTGAGTAGGGGGGGAGTTGCGCTACCTGTGGTCGTTGAGAGATTTCTGTACCTTGGTATGTTTCGCAGGATCCCGAGACCTTCTTCTTAGAGTCGGTCTCGTTGTGCCGTACAGTATCGATGAGTGCAGTATTTTGGCTGACCGTGTCATTGTTGTGTGTTGTCGGAGTCTTTTCGTCAACGTCCACTACATCAGGATCAGGCTCGATCAGCTGAGCGTGAGAAGTCGTTTTCTTCGCCCGGCCAAAGTTTGGCGCTGGCACAGGGCCAAGCTCGCGGCTGGATCGGGTGCTCTTCCTGTGAAGGGGACTTTCTTGCTCGACTGCCCGACGAGCTTTCGAGAAATAATGCGATACCTCCGTCCCAATGTCACTATCGCCCGTCATCGGCGTGGAACCTGAAGATGTCGGGCTGAAGACAGAGCCAGTTTCTGAAGCGTCCGACTCTGGTGACAAAGGCTCTCGAGGCTTTCCGTATGGCGAACTATCCTTTGCCTTTCGCCTAGGCGGACGTCTCACAGGGGTGATACAGGAGGGTGTCGGTTGCGCTGGGGAGAGACTCCGACGAGCCGCTGTCCGAGAAGATTCGGCGCCCAGCATTGAATTATCCAGGCACTCCGAAGCCGTCGAAGTGGGCATTGGCTCAACTGTGAGTTGCGGTCAGAAATCTCACAAATCTTCTAACAGTTACACCTTTGTCTTATTTTTCGGACTCGGTTCTCGTACAATGAAACGCACTTTGGGACATTGTGATGTGATGCTGTCTTGTTCGATCATGCAGTGGCACGCCTTTTGATCCTCATCGACGACCTCAACTCCGTCATTGGGAGTACCAAGGACATCGACTCGATTGAAAGAGGAGATATATCCAACCTCATTCCCAGAATCGAGTAGTCTGTTAACGAGGTCGGAAAGCAAATCTATCTCAGAAGCCACATCTTTCTCATTGGCTTCCTCGTGAGCAGGCTGTTCTTTCGAACTCGTATCTTGGCTGTCGATACTAGAGACAGATTCCGCGATTAGATTGATTCCAAGCTTGTCCTCAGCAATGGCCCTTAAATCGAGACAAATCTCATGTTGCTCTTCAGGCGTACCATCTAGGCCGGCATTCTTCATAGCAGAGTATTGTGCGGTACTGGATTTTTGAAGAGACTCGCAACTCTCCAATCCTTGACTGTCAGCCGGCTGCCAAGTCTCAATGTTACGATGTGTTGGTGATGAACACAAACGTGCATATCACATTGCGCGTGCATGTCAATGCTGAGACGGGTGAGACCTTATGTGCAGAAGCCTGCAGAACGTGTGCTACGAAATCAGCCTCGGTCTATCTGTCAGCCTTGCGACTCCTTTTGCGTACAAGTTGCCTCCTTGGAAGTTTCACCCCTCCCGTTCTGCGCGGGTTTAATAGACAAGCTCACAGCTAAGGAATCTGGGCATAAAAAAACCTTAGTCACGCAACGAAACCCCTTCTAGCATTACTCCGAACCGGAATTATACCGAAATCATGAAAATTATCCAGGCGACGCAATCCAGCGATTTCCTCTTGACTTGCGCTAACCACATGACGGTCGATTCTAATTATGGTGGTCTCAGGAAGCTTTGGAAAAAGAATGCACGGAACTTTCTTAGAGCAAGATGCGAACTATAGGGTGCTTCAACCTCAATTAGGAAAGACATACATCTATTGAGATTCAGCACCGGGCATCAAGAGTTATTTTCTTGCAATCCACCTTTGTTCACAATCGCATCGAGTGTATCGCTCGGCTGCCCAGCTCCGATCACAGGAGCCGTATAGAAATCATATCGACCTAGTCCAGCAACAACATGAACAACTCGCGTTCAGTGTCAAAATGCTACGTCTGTGGGAATCAGGGCTTCCTAGGCGGGCGGGATCTCCTGCTTCACTGCATCTCTACTCGAATGTGGAAGGAGCTCCAGTTGAAGATCACATCAAGTACCTCATAGAGTCAAGATTTGTGGTCAGATTCATAATCGGATGGAAGTACAGGGGCATTCAATGTTCACCCAGGACAACATCGACTCCCCCCACGCGCATGTGTATGCTCCTTGCAGCATAGCCACACTGTGTCAGCGTTACATTGCCTTATGCAGTTGGTTCGATGCTGCTATTTTGCGCAGCCACCTTGCTTGAGACGTCCGAGAACACACGGGCCGATTCGCCTGTCTTGGACAGAAAATACAAGTAGAGATTGAGAATCAAAACTATGGATGGGTATCGAACGCTCGCCATATCGCATGAATCACATCAGACATTACCTCATGTCATGTACATTCGTTAGACGTCCCAGCTCCTCCCGTAACACACGCACGCGCCGCAGGTTAATAATTAATAAGAATGGTGTTCAAACACGCCGCCGACGTCCCGTATCTTAGGCGGCGACAGCTTCCACGGGCGCACCACCATCCGTGTCCTGGGGCGCGTCGGTAGGCTCCTTGGCCTTCCCATTTGTCGCCTTGGCGGCCTCGAGCTCAATGGCCTTGATCTTGGCCTCGAGAGCCTCCACCTTCTCGGCGAGGGCCTTCTTCTCCTTCTCGGCCTCCGCGGCCTTGTTGGCCTGGACTTGGAGGTCGGCGACCTTTGACTCGAGGTCCTTGTTGTCCTGGGAGTGGAGTTAGCACACGAGGTCGTAGAATGCGATGGGAACTTACGCTCAGAGCCTTTGATGCCTTGGACTCGGCGTCCTCGACCTTCTTCGTGGCAGCGGCAGCCTTGGACTCAGCATCCTCAGCCTTTTTGGTGGCAGCGGCAGTCTTCGACTCGGCCTCCTTGGTCTTCTCAGCAGCCTTGGACTCGGCCTCCTCGGCCTTCTTGCTCGACGCGGCAGCCTTGGCTTCAGCCTCCTCGACCTTTTTGGTGGCAGCAGTAGCCACGGACTCGGCCTGGCTAACCTTCTTCGACGCATCAGCGGCCTTGGCCTCGGCCTCGTCGACCTTTTTGCTTGCATCGGCAGCCTTCGTTTCAGCCTCCCCAATCTTCTTCGAAGCTTCCGCAGCCTTGGCCTCGGCATCCTCAGCCTTTTTGGTGGCAGCGGCAGCCTTGGCTTCAGCCTCGTCGACCTTCTTGGTGGCAGCGGCAGCCATTGACTCGGCCTCGGTAAGCTTCTTCGACGCGTCGGCGGCCTTGGACACAGCCTCCTCAACCTTTTTGCTAGCCTCGGCGGCCTTGGCCTCTGCCGCCTCGACCTTCTTGCTAGCATCAGTAGCCTTTGCCTCTGCCGCCTCGACCTTCTTGGAAGCATCAGCAGCCTTGGCTTCAGCCTCCTCAACCTTCTTACTGACAGCGGCCGCCTTGGCCTCAGCGTCCTCCGTCTTCTTGGACGCATCAGCCGCATTGGCCTCCGACGCCTCCTGTGCCTTTTTCAACGCCGCCAACTCGTCGGTAGCGACCTGGAGCTTACTCTCCGCCTCCTTGAGCTGCTTGGTAGCGTCGGCAGCCTTGGCCGCAGACTCCTCGACCTTCTTGGAAGCCTCAGTCGACTTGGTCTTTTCCTCATCATGGGCCTTCTTCAGAGCCTCAACTTCCGCGGTGGCAGCCGTGAGCTTCTTCTCCGCGTCTTGGGCCTTGGAGCTGGACTCGGCCAATGTAGTCTTGGCCTCCTCCTGAGCCTTCTTGAGCGACTCATTCTCCTCTGTAAGGGACTTCTTGCCAGCCTCGAGCGAGTCGGTCTTGGCGGTGGCCTCCTTTAGCTGCGCGGCGTGGTCTGCCTCCATCATCTTCTGGGCCTCCTCGAGCTGGGCGACCTGCTTCTTGGCGTCGGCAATGCTGGCCTCGAGCTTGCTGTTGAGTTCTTGCGCGTTCTTCAGCTGCTCCTGGGCAGCGCTCGCCTCCTTTGACGCAGAGGCACTCGAGGCCTCGAGGCTGTCGTGCTTTGCCTTCCACTCGTCAATCTCCTTCTTGGCGGCAGTCTGCGCAGTCTGCAGCTCGGCAATGGTCTTGTTGAGATCAGCAAGCTTGGCGTCCGAGTCCGCCTTGAGCTTGTCGTTTGTCTCGGACAGGGTGCGGCCCTTGTCCTCGGCGTCGGTGGTAGCCTTCTTCTGGGCCTCGAGGGCCTTGCTGGCGGCAGCCATGTCGCCGTCCAGCTTTGAGAAGGCCTCCTGCAGCTCGGCGCGCTTCTTGTCGGTCTCGGCGGCCTGGGCCTTGAGGGTCTCAATCTCCTTCTTCCATGATGCCTCGAGAGAAGCGCGTTCCTCCGTCGCCTTGGCCAGCTGAGTCTTGAGGTCGGCGATCTGGGAGTTGAGGCCGGCGCTGTCACTCTCGGCCTTGGACAGCTGCTGCTTGAGCTGTGCGACCTCGTCTGCCAAGCCCTTGCTCTCCTCGGCCGCCTTTTGCAGGCGAGCGTTCAGAGACGCGAGCTCGGCCTGGGAGGCGGTACCCTCGGAGCCGCTGGCCTCGAGCTGGCGGTTGAGCTCGTCAATCTTCTTGCGCAAGTCATTGGCCTCTTCAGATGTTGTGTTGAACTCCTTCTCCTTCTTGGCGAGATCGCCCTCGAGCACGCTGATGGTCTCTGTCTTGTCGGCGATTTGCTTCTCGAGAGCCTGCTTGTCGGCCTCGGTGAAGGCGGATGGCTGAGAGACGAAAGCACCCATGCTGACGTGGAGCGAGAGGGCAGCGTGGATAGATTAGAGGGGAGGAGGGGTGGTTGACAAGGTCAGACAGAGATTTGAGGGTGGATGAGGATGTTAATTAGGACGTCGCAGCGTACGGACGGAAGGTGCAGCTGGGGAGAACAACAAATACCTATGAGCCGAGGTGTCGTCAGGGTCGAGAAATTTTGAGCAGGAAGACTGGAGACTGGAGACTGGAGACTGGATGGATGGATGACCCGATTGACCGCCAAGGCCCCCATTTGCCAGGGTCTACACGCACCGCACTCCACAGTGGGCAGTATGTGTGCGCTGTTGGCACGGTAGCGAGAGATGCGGTGAGTTGAGGTTAGTCGTGAGAGATGTGACTGCCCCACCGAGGCGCCAAGCATGAGATGTCAATCTCAGCAGCATGAACTTGTGAGGGCTATGAACGGTGAGCCCTGTCCATTCACGGGTTCAACGAGCTCCGAATTCAGTCAAACGCATCGCAGTCTGTGTGCCACGGGCAGCGCATGACCTCATTCTCCTAGGGTGGGCTGATTTTGTAGGTTCTTTGGGCAGCCGTTGTGCTCCGCCGCCCCTCTATACCGACTCGTGCGCGCCCAACCAGAACCTTGAGTGTGATGGTGACGGTGCAGGTGGGAATTTGGTTGCAGGCTACCCTACGTGCAGCAGTGGACTGACTTGCAATGCAGATAACATCTTATCTTCAAGGTAATGGTGATAAATCTGATGACAATGTCCTGAATTGCCATTTTGCGGAAACAATTCATGTTGTTTATCGCCCAAGAGCTAATAGTGACCTGTGTTGAGTTGTAGCTTGCTAGGCGTTGACTGGTGCCAACAACCAATCGTGAAAAGAACGTGCTGGAAATTATAGCATACTGGGCGGGCGCATTCACCCGGGCCTTCCAGACCACCTATGAGCATGGAAATGTTTATCTTCCGCCAACATTACCATCCACAAAACATGCAACTTCCTCTACGATACTCCACCTTGAACACCCAGCAGTACTTATCGCCAGCGACGACATCCTCCGTAACGTCAATCCACAGCTGGCCATCGTTTCCCATCCCCACTCCAAGTCAAACTCACCTCGCATGCCCAGTGCGGCGACTTGATCTCCCATTATCACAGGAACCCGAGACTCAACTTCGAGAAGTCCCACCGCGGGCTTCGCCAGGCTCAGGACACAAAATGCTTCGTTGCGTTGTGTGAAGCGCAAGTCTCTGCCCCCCGTCGTCTCCTGGGGCGCGACGTACCAATGAGTTGCATTGTGTATGGCTTCACTATGCGCATGAATCTAGGCACCCGCCTCCCTCAGTTTCGTCGCCATAATGTTGTGAATCGCACCATCAGCCTTGGGGGCCGATATTCAGCAGAATATTGCCATTCTTATTTGTCATATCTACCAAATTATGGATCACGGTCGTCGCAATCATAATCTCCTCATCCTTGGTCACCCGGTTGAAGATAGCTATACGGATCCATGCTCTGGTTGCTCTCCCATTTGCGTCGCTGCGGGACGTTGAACGTCGCGTACTCGGGCTTGTCGAAATTCAACGCCCACGGGCTGCCGCAGCGGTCGTTGATGGTCACCTGCCGCCCCTGTCTTCGTGCCCAGTTGCACAAGGCGGTAACACGTCTGTGCCGTTGTTGTACGCGAACCTTTCCATCTGCGGGACCATCAGGTCGTCGATGAAGTCACCGATCGGCAGGCGACCAGTGTAGGGCTCCTCGAGTCCCGTGTGCGGGTTCCTGGCAATGATGCCTGGATGCGATGTCGGTGCTGTACCACCAGAGCCGCTCGGCGTACCTCTCAAAAGGCATCGAATGGCCTCATGACGGCACGGAATACGGACCTCAGTGGATGAAGATGCCATATTTGGCACCGTCGTACCAGCTGGGCGCCTCATTGCTGACCAGGCTTTGAGTCCGCCGTCCATTCTTCCAGACCGAAAGGGATGTCACTCATGGTCTGCGAGGCTGAGAGACCTCTGGCCCGCTCCTATGAACGGTCGCGTTACCGGTCGATCTTCCGTCATCAGCAACATGAATTCGCTTCTGGTCGCCAGGGCAGAACCTCTTCACAATGGCAGGCTCTGTCGTATTGACCCCGTCCGCTTCGATTGGAACCTCAGTGCCAGACGCGCACGCTGTGCCAGCATGATGGGCCACAATTTTCACGATTTGTTTGCCATTTGCGTCGAGGCTCTGGCTAGGTCTGACAGTCTGAACCTCAATGCTGGGTTGATCGGCATCCCACAGAGACAGGGAGAATAAGTGCAGACGACCCGATGTTGAATCCGTCGTATTGGGCAGTCTCATGCCGCTGAGCGTTTTCCCACTCTCGACATGGGCATATCGCTCGTGGATGTGCGAGACATTGTGGCTGATGTCGTTGTGGGTGAAGAAATAGGGGCAGCTGATCTCGCCCCCCCCCCGATATGCACTCTTGCCCGAGTATAGTGGGATTACAAATGTCCCGCCAATTCAATTCAAGGCGTATTCATTCTAGTGATCTGGGATAATCCAGCTTCTGGGTTGATTGGTCATCCTGAGGCTTAGGTCGCAGCCCATAGTCGCTGACGTCTGACATTGCTCGTTACGCATCCGCCGAGTCGGTTGAACGATAGCCCGGTGCAGATGAACAGACCAGTACACAGACCAGCTCAGAAGTACTTAAGTATTCGGTAAAGCGAGAGCTATTGGTAACATGATCATTCACAATTATCAGGCCATGGCAACTCTAAGTATTTCGTACTTTACGGTGAGTTCTCGCGTATCACTCAGTCCGCGCTGTTCTTTGTAGTTCCTCGCATAAGCGGTGCACAGGCCTAATCATTAATCTCACCTCTTTCTAGGTACCGGTGGCTTTATGCATGGCATTAGGTGTCCGCACGTACCCACCCCATCTTGTCTAAGCCGGGCCAAAGGTTACTGGATCGCAACAAGCCGAGGGACTTTATTAAAGTACTAAAAAAAGCTAATCTTGACGAAAATATGAGACCGAAAGGCTAAGTCAATTGCGATATCTAATACGGGTTATTAATAATATAAGGGCTAGGTTCGGGGTCGCTTATTACGCGCGGAAGGGTGCGCGGCGAACTGGTTCGAGGCGCTGCCGGTCTTCGTAGTAGCGGTAACTATAGGTAATTCTGCCGGCGTGTCTCCCCTAGTAATGAATTGGCTTTCTATCGGATAATTAGTCAGCCGTTTGCTCTACACATATATATATGTGATTTGGCAAGCCAACGAGGTATTGGATCCAAATGACGCCCCAGCTCGCTTTAAAGTTTGGGCTGTCGGTGCGACGCTGGCAATGTGTATGTTTATCCTCGCTGGAAGCCAGGCTTAAGGTAGTCTTATAGTCTTAGCCAAAAAGTGTTTATTAAAATACACCTAAATGGGAACAGAATCGTGTGTAGGAGAGTCGTCTCGGGGTAGGATTTGCCTCAGTCTTCTCTGTTGTCGACTACCCTCGAGGCTGGCCAGAGAGCCTCATATCACTGCTTCCAGCCGTGAGCAGCCCAAGTTTGAGAGTTCCCATACATGTTTCTGGGTAAATTAATCCATGTTCTCTTCCAGAGACTGGGCGCTTTGGTCAGTTTGTGTCCGAGGCTCAGCATCAGGTCATTTAGTCCAGAGGCTACCAGATCCCACGTCCCTATTACCATCTGCGTCCCCTGGGGTTTGTTCCTTTACTTCACCTGTCGGCAATTGAGATCACTTTTTTTCTAAGTTTCCTTCCAACAAAGATCGCAACGCACCGATAGATGAATGTTCAATTGAGTATGGAGGTGAAGCGCAAGGTGCGGCCCCCCCCCCTCCACACCCTCTTCCTCCTCCTGAGGGCTCCCATCCGAATGCCACTCCTCAGCAAACTGGGTGACGCGCGTGCGGACACTCGAGCACACCATATGTATTCATAATCTCGTTGTCTGCCTCATTGTCAGTCACTCATGTTACCCCGAAAACAAGACTCGACACTCACGGGTGTTGACCTCACGCCACCCCCCCTGGCAGTAGCAGCGCACCCACGCCACATCAGCAGGCCAGATATCGCCCGGCTTCATGACGATGCTGCATTCGCGGCACAGGTCGGGCAAGTGCCCGTCACCAATGGTCTGTGCACTTGGTTAGCGATAGCTCTAAGTAGAGTAGGACAGCGTGCGTGGCTAGGCTTACGATGAGCTCCTCGTTATAGTATGTGTAGCAATCTTTGATATCGAGGCTGGCGTCGTTGGAGCTCCCGTTTCCGTCGTCGCAGTGGGCGGTAATGACGCCAGTGCCGGTGATGTTGATGTCATTGCAGGTCGCCTCGAATCCTGCGCGGACGCAAGCAGCCAGCGAAAGCAGGGACACCGGGACGGAGACTGACAGCTTCATGATGGCTGGGATAGTATGGCACGAGTAGTGAACGATCCTCTCGGAAAGTAGATGTACGAGTCCCGATAGCATGAAAGGCATGCGATAAGATGATTTATATACCTGATCGAAACATGCCGCATTCGACCTCGGACACTCCCTCGGTGTTCCTCCGCACAGCCGGATCAGGGTCACCGTGGGGTTTAGACACGCTCGTCGCAGCTTGGCTCCCGAAATAGCCGCGCGGTCGGCTGCTCTTCGCCGACCGCATATGGACCTGTGTTACTATTTCATGCAAGTCGCCCTATCAGCCTCGGCGTAAGCACAGGATGAGTCCAGGGTCCCGATCCTACGGCCAGATACTGAGATTGGTAAGGAGGAGCGTTCATGCGGGGAAGAAGGATTATGTATATTCTCCATATGTCAGCAATGACAAAGTGTCAGTGGTCGGCGAAACATAGCTGTCATTGAATTCATGATCCTTCCCAGGGTGGCTGTGGGATTGAGGGGCGTTGATGCAATTTGTCGATGTAGTCCTGCGACCTGCGGCACGTACCTTTTCCAGTGCCACTAGATCGATTGATTTCAGACATACTAGACTAACTCTGTGTCCTGTTTCGTTCATTCATCACATCGAATAAGCCGCTTCGGAGCAGCCACACCCCTGCCCAGCAACACTCGTGACAGATGGCGCATGACAGGTTGCCTCGCTCGTGAAGCCCGGCAGCGGCTCCGTAGTGACGTCCCCTCGACGACCTCGACAATGACCAGTACCGGGATGATCTGTCCCGTGCTGAGCAAGAACCTGCGGTGGCCCAGGACTCTCAGCAGACTTCTAATTTCTCCCCAGTGGCTTGACACACTGATCCACGTCGCATCGTCCTCCGCAAAGACGTCGTCCAGCACGGATTGGCTGTGTCAGTCCTGGTGCGGTCGGATCTTGTTCTCGCTCACGTCGCCGCGCCATAGCTTGTGCTTCTCGGTGAAGCCATCCTCGAAGTGGAGCGCCGGAATAGCGGCGGGGAGATGCGACTTGGCTAGACCCCCGATCGCAGGTGTGGGTGCTGATGCCCTCGTGGAAGAAATCCTTGAAGACAGGATCAGAGGGCCTGGTCTCGGGCAGATTTATGTCCGCAAAGCTTCAGTTCGCAGTTATGGTGCAGCCCACCAGCGGGGAGGTGCAGTACGACTCAAAGTACGGCAGTCCATGGTCGGCAAAGTGCGACTGGAAGAATGCGTTGGCCTCGAGGGCCTCGTGCAAGCCGGCTGGGGTAAGGAGGGGATCCGGCCAGACCGCTGTGCCGTTGCCGTCGAGGACGGACCAGTAGCACTGCGTATGTCAGCATGATTCCTGGACCGCGAGCAACAGGAATAACACATGGAGTCATTACTCACGTTTTATGCCGGGGTGCCATGGAAGGACTCGGTAGCATTGTGCCAACCCTGACCGTGGCGACCCATGACCTTGTACCGGACGTCGCCTTTGTTGCGGCAATTGCGGTTCAACTACGCCACCCATCGGGCGAAGCGCTCCCACTGAGGTGTATCGCCAGAGACATCGTTGTCGGTAGGGTAAGTCCTGTTGAGCAAATCAAGGTTGCTCGAAGCCTTGAGTCGAAAGCGCCACAGTAATCTTGGATTTTCTCATATCATGTGGAGTCCGGGTGAACCCACATAGTCAAACGTTCCAGGAGCCGTGTCAGCCTCGTCTCGGTGGGAATACCGCTGGATTGTGGTGTGCTTGATGCTCTTCCCATGCGCTTCAGGCTATGACGCTCTGACGGTGGCGGGGAGGCAAGCTAGCGAGAGCAGTTGGGAGACCTTCATGTCTGAGTTAGAAGTTGTGGAGATGACGGTCGCAGCTCATGAAAGGGGACGGTGGCCTCCTCCTCTTATGTACATCCAACGTACCCGTACATATGACCGGCTGCCGGCATCGCGAGCTCTAAGTTTGCGGCCGGTGCGGATGGTTGGGGAGCGAATAAAGCGAGAACATGTCTGATATTTGCGATCAACAGACGCTCGGAATCTATCGCGACTTTATATTTGAATCTTTCAAGGTCGACTCGGCAAGATTATGATCTTCGGAGGATATGATGTCGACTATAGGGCACTACCAGAAGGCGTCGAGGCTGCAAGGAAATGATTTTGGCAGTGTCTTTCTTGGCTTCATGTCGCACGCTGAGTTCCATGTCCAATTTAAAGAGAGGCCTGATTGACCTGGGCCACCTGACTCACCCCTGTCAGGCCAGGCTGTCACGGCAGAAGTGAGCGAGAATTCACAACAAAACCGTTCCCTCATGAAGATAGTCGCCATGCCCGCCGTCGGACCCAAGATGTTCTCGCCAGTGTCCATCCCGCGCAGCATCAATTGCCGCTTGACATTTCGCATCACTGGGATGTCGCATCGCGGTCCAGAACCCTTGGCTTCACTCCTCAACACGCGGTGCCCATCCCGAGACGCTCGAAATCCTCCTTCGACAGGCGTATCCTATCACCGGGCCCTCAATACGTCCTCGCAATGGCGGTCGGCTTCGCAGACAGCAGACAAGGAAAAGTACTGCGAACCATCGGTTGAGCGTAACATCGAACATTGCGGCTACGAAAAATGGGGCTTCATCATCTACCGGACAACATACGACGAAGTATCGGCCCGCCCCTGGGAGGCGTTCAAGGACCGCGTACTGCGCGACGTGCGCCGCTCCATTCTCGAGTCTGACACCCCAGAGATCCTAGACAACATGGACTTTGTCTTCGTCGAGGACCCGGCCCTAGAAGGCGCCTCTGTCGGGAGCCTGCAGCGCCGCTTCCGAGCCTGGGTCCGGGAGGAAAACATGGTGCCTTATTTCATAGACGAGGAAAAAAATGAGAGAGTGTACGAGCCGCGCGGAGCGCGGCACGAGTTCTTCATCGTCGTGGACGACACCGCGCTGCATGGCTCCCACGTCAGTCTTGTGTGCGGCTTTCCCGAGGACAGCGAGGAGGAGGGTCGCGAGCACGATAAGATCTGGCACCACGTCATCGGAACCAAGCTATACGACAAGCTGGGCGACATCCACGCCCCTTGGACAGGGGACTATTACAGGTGTTTGTCGACATACATGAGAGCTCAGGGCTATTGACATGGCGGCCGAAATCGCGGGGACATGAGGCTGTAGCATGGCCCTTCACACACGTATTTACAGCATGACATGATACGGCCCGCTGCTGAGCCCCATAATCTCCAACCAAGCCTCGGGAGCACAATGCTTCTCCGCCGCGCCTTTCGCGGCCGCGTCAACGACGGTGTTGAGCTCCCGTGAGATATGCCACAGAGCAATGTTCAACCCGCTTTCGTGAGCCCGCACCGCCTCGCCGAGTAAAGCCTCCCACAGATCCCTATTCTTGACTTCAGCCTTCCCAGGCTGCGATGTCCGCCATCCATTCCTCACCCATGTCCTGCACAAAGCCGTGCACCTTCGACGGCAGTAGGAGGAGTCCGTGGAGATGACAAAAGTCTTGAAACCCTCTTCAGCCCAAATGGCGCAAGCGCAGGGCAGCGATAATGGCGCGGAGCTCGGCACGGTTGCTGGTCTGCTCACGAATCGAGTCATCGAATGGACCTCTCATCTTAAGCCCGTGGCTGGCCACGGCACACTCGCCAGTGGGAAAAAAAAGCCATAATGGACGGCCCAGCCAGCCTTGGGATCGATCTGGCCGTTGTTGAGACACGCGCCATCAGTGAAGATGATACCAATCGATGGATCGTCGCGGTGGGTCATTCTGTTCGCATGAGTCAGCCAGTGGCCTCGCACGCAGTGTCACTACTGATCTCGTGAACTTAACCCATAGCCTCCTTCCGGAGAAGACTTCCGCAGGGATGGCATCAGGCTCGGGTGGGTTGAGCTTTGAGAAGAACGCCTTTCCTGTGTCCTTGCGGAGCAACGTGTAACTACACGGTTCCAACGGGCATGAGTGGAGTATCAGGAGGATCAGAAGGCGGTGGGCGAGACTGCTCGCATTCTTCCGATGCAAGGTCGCCTTCAGAGGCCCAGAAGGAGTCCGCGTCCTAGTCGTACTCGTTCATAAAGTCGTACGACGTGCAGCACTTTCCACACGTAACGAGGCCGCAGGGTCCGCAGACGACACGACCATCCGGCAGCTCGCAGGGACCCTCTTCATTATCGCTACTGCTTGGGCCGAGGGGAATGAGGCCCTGTGCGCGGTAGTAACCGAGAGGTATTCTAAGAGGCTGCTATGGTTGACTTAGAAGCGCCTTCGAAGGGGAGAGCCAAGTAAGAGAGGAGGAGAAGAGTATTTATAGGTTAAGCGAGCCTCGGGTACTCGGATCAGAGGCGAGGCAGCTCCAAGATTGGAGCCACTTATTGCGCAACGGCAAGAAGTTGTCCATTCAAGTAACGTTTTATGACGCAGAGACCTGATGCACCTCTAAGAAACAAGCGAACATTGTTCTCAATTCGACCATGAAAGAAACGCTCAACGGGGAAGAGTGAGTAAGGTGAGAGGTTTCACGCACGCGAAGATGGTGCGAATCTTTCGTGGGGCTACGCTAGGGGCATAATGTGAGTGGAGATGGCTACTTTAAGCATTGATACAGTTTTTCCTTGCAGCACAAGGGTGTGCCTCATGAATTAGGTGCGCTTTGGCCAAGCCTCTGGTGGCTTATTGTGGCTCAGCGCAGGACATGCCTCAAGGCGCACCAACCCCCGCGGAATTCAGCTCTACGAAGCTGGTGGGGATACTCGCAACGAGTGAGGGATCAAAAAGACACGTAAGCGTGCGGGTGCTGGGAACCTGCCTCTTCCATCTCTTCCATTTCTATTCACTTTGATGATTCCTGTGTTAATCAAGACAACACTATCACAACCCAACACCATGTCTAAGTCAGAGACAGAACCGGTATCTGATTTGGAATCGGACTCGCAACAGATTGTCCGCATGAGTGCCCACCCAGTCCCAGAGCATCCTCCCCCACCAGGTCCCCAACGTGACCAATGGGCGGGATGGAGGGCATGGGACCGGTATTGCAGCATCAGAGCACAGTATGAGCATGTTGATGTGCTGAATCAACTAATCATGCCTGTTCTACAGCACTACTATGGACTAGACGAATCGTATCCTGGTTATATCGGTAGGTTAATGTGTACATATACCTATCTATGTATATGTATATTTCTCTTAGGCGTACGTTTTCAGGACTAAGCTATATTGCAGAAATGCCTGAGATGTGCTTCCCAAATCCACCAGACTACACAAATTACGACTACGACAAACTTCATGAATACCTTAGGGAATGCTACTCCAAGACCCTTGAGATAGCTTTGCCAAACAGTACGCATATGAACAACAAAGAGCGTCGTACTAGACAGACCACCCTAGGGCGCTATTTGTCCATGTATCAACCTCTTCAGATCTCTACATCGGCTGCGACCGTCAGGTTATTGGAGGTCCTCCCAGCTGTCGCTGAGGATGAAGCAGTACATACAAGGCTGTTCATGACAGACCTGGACGCGGCTACTGTAGATTACGAGGCGCTTTCCTACACTTGGGGGAAGCACGCTACCTCGGGTCACAAGCAATCCATCTACGTGAATGGCTTCAAGACGAACATCACTTACAACCTGTTCAGCGCCCTCTCGTCACTTCGACAACCTTCTAAGAGCCGCGTCTTATGGGTTGACTCGGTCTGCATAAATCAGGCCGACTTACAGGAGCGGCAACATCAGGTCCAGCTCATGGCTCGAATATACACTGGCGCAAAGAAAGTTGTCATATATCTTGGCGCAGCTACTTCCGCGTCGGATACAGTTATGAGAACTCTGCAATCCGCAGGACCTGAACTCTTTCCCGAGAGCGATGATAACACTGACAACGACGAGGGCGACACTGAAGACGGCCGGCCTTTCTGGAAACTGTGCTACGATGCTGGGCAGGAGTTGATTGAAGGGTTTATCGACATCAGTACCAGAAGCTGGTGGAGCAGAGTCTGGATACTTCAGGAATACACGCTGCACAGAAAGGACCCTATCATTCATTGTGGACGGCTACACGTGGGGAACCGTGTCTTTTCACAGTACTTTAAAAGGCTGTACAACTGGGTGCTACACCGACGAAGACATCCAGCAATATCTGGAGATTGCAAACATCAATTTTGCAACATATCCTACCTGACCGAGCCATCGAATGACGGACTACTGCCTACTGATGGCAAAGACAAGGAGCTAGCTCTTGAAACTGAAGGTAGGCAGATACTCGGCCTAAAGACGAGAAGAAACGTCTTCTTCCCTGATCAGATTCCAAGAGGCCGTGGATGGACCAGGTGGGCCAGGCAAGCATGGAAGGTTCAAACAATTCTCTGCGGCCGTCAGACCTGCGAAGGCTTACCAACTACACGCTTCAAGGCACTTGGGACCGAGTCCACATGCAGCGTCCCGCACGACATCGTCTACGGTCTAAGAGAGTTACGGGATCCTCTGTTCCGCAGCCTTTTTCCGCCCGACTACATGATGCCACTGTCGACACTCTTCGCTCGTTATGCCGCCTACATGATCATTATTGAGGGGAATATGGACATATTTTGGTACTAACCGCACCGTCTTCGGGACCGAATCAAGAGTGAGGTACAGCTCACTCTGGGTCGTGCTGCTGCTGCTCGCGATGTGCCGTCCTGGGTTCCGGATTTCACTAGGCCACGAATTTACAGATCAGGCGACAAACATCCCCAGCAATGGAAGCCCAAGATCAAAGAATGGAATTTCGCAGGTCGCATACTTAACCGTGTCCTGCTCATGGACGGAATACTGCTCGACGAAATCATCGACGTCTTCCCACTTCCAACCGACGATCCATTTCTACTTTTGCAACAGTTATGGTACGTTGAGAGAAAGCATTGGGGCCCAACATACTTGAACAAAAAGCCTTCAGACGACGGCACAGATCGAGGCCAAAGGGACGACATCTTCCATGAGATGCTAGACAAACTCGGAGGGGTCTATTACTACCCGAGTATTGCTTGGTTGATGGAAGGTGATGACCGTCAGAAATTCGACATTTCGTTGGTCAATGTACTGGCAGCTACGACGGACCTACGATCATTAATTGATAAAGAATTTCTGAGATATCAAGCCAAGATACCCAAGGTTGTCGATACTCTTGTGGAAAAGGGAGCCGCGAAGCCCCCGGCTCATGACGGAGAGGTTGCAGAAACAGCATTTTTGACCTCAAAGATTGAGAGGCTCGATGTCTGTATTGAAGATCATCAGAAGGAGTCGGTTTCAGACCGCCAAAGCCTCATCCGTGCGATGGAATGGCGGCTAGTGGATTTGATAACGTGGCTCAATGATGACCCTACGTGGACGGACTTCGTCGGAATATGCATCTTTGATTACGACAATTTTCGGTCTCAAATCGTACATAGGCTCAGCATGTGGTCGGCGCAGAAAACAGCTGATGTAATGGGAGACAGTCCCGGTTTTGAGTACCTATTGCAAGGCCTCGGACCGCGAGAAAATACTGCAAAATGGGCAGTTACCCATGAACCATTTCACTATACGGAGTTCATCAAAGCTGTTGATAACAATCGCGATCCGTTGGAGATTCGTCTGAGAGAAACATTCCTCGTTGACCTGGCCACCAAAATTCGCAGACTCATGAAGGACATGGTTGGGCTCGAGGGTATCAAGACATTCGAAGGTGTCAATGTCGGAGAAGTTCGCAAAGGTTCGCTAGAGGCCAGTAAAGGTTCAAGTCCAATAATTTGCATGTGCCCTGTCCATGCGTTTGTTGAGACAAACAGCAATCAGCACGAAGAAGATGATGCAACGGACAACGAGTTCGAATTGCTTGGTTTACCTCACCGCCGACGAGATCACCCTCACGGGAGCATGCTTCGTTGGTCTCAGGAGCCACGCAAGGTAAATTACGATGCGCATTGCCTAGTGTACGATATCGTCGAAACACTAGCCGGAAGAGAGCTGTTCGTGACCGAGACTGGCCTAGCAGGCATCACCACAGCAGGGACGACCGGCATACAAGACGGAGACGACCTTCTTCTCATTGAGGGCATGTCGGATCTACTCATCGGGCGACTAGAGCCGAATCCTCAGCTAGGCAACCCGAAAAAGAGGAGGCGGGAAATGCCCACAATTTGGATGAAGAGAGAGATTTTGGGCACTGCATTAGCAAAAGGTATTGATACGAAGGAAGGAAAGGTAGATGAGGCGATAGTGCCTTCTTGGTTTGAGGATATAACCCGTGGTAGGAGAGGGGTATTCAGGTTCAGTTAGGAGCCTTAGTGGTGTAGCCTGCTGGCCTCTCACGACGGAAAATAGTGCATTAATCGCATATGAATACAGCTTGCACTGCTTGATACAATTTCGCCACGATGTTACACTGGAGTTTGAAGAAGCCGGGTCGATTGGCTAGGAGGAAAGACGGTGGTTCAAAGTAGGACCTAGGAGTCCATCGTATCCATACCTACATAAAAGCAAGAAACATTCATGAAAAGCTCGGTGCCTCTGTGTTTAGTCTTCTACAGTAAAAAGTGTGTAACTAACGTAATCCACATGCGAGCGGCGCACCCAAGCGAGCGGCGCACCCAAGCGAGCGGCGCACCTTCCCCGTCATCTACACACGACTACATTCCTCACTAATTATTACCGTATTTAATAATAGATAAACTTCTAAAAGAATCTAGGGTGACCCTTGCCCTCGTAGCTCTCGGAGGAGACGCGTTATTAAGTATCCGATATATTACGAAGGT